TTGAGGGATAATTACTAAAATCCTCTAAATATTAATAGAAAAGACACTAAGTGAAAATCTTAGGTGTCATCCAAATAGGGTTTTAAAGAAAGCTATTAAAATTTGTTAATAATATTATTATGTAAATAATTAAACTAAATTTATATCACATATACAATATATAACTATTAAACAAATATGAAAGCAAGGAATATATGGTAATTAATATGAAAGATTTTATTTAATAAATATAAAGTATATGTGAGAATATTTTTTTTTAATAACTATTAGATGTTTTTGACATGCGTTAAATACGAGACTATAATATTCAAAAAAAAATTTCATGATTTTTTTATATACGAGAGAAATTAAAAATAACAAATATATATCTCCGGTATAGATAAATATATTAATAAATATATTTTATCTTACAAAATTTAATTTGCATGATACGTAGACTAAATGCAGATTATTTTTTAGAAATGCCATTTTTTATTAAAACTATATGCTATGGTGGAAATCTCTATATGTTTTTATTAAATTTATAACATAAACTCATTAATATATATTTTACATAGTTAAGTTTAACTAAATGTAATATAGATTTGCTATATCATCTATTTTAAAAAAATTAATATATTAAAAAACTTTTTATTATTATATTTGTAACAATATTATTTATTTGTATATGATAAATACACTTACAAATATTTTTATATTTATTATTAGAAAACATATATTTTTTGTTTGGTACGTCCGACAAATTTATATAAATCTAAAATTTATTTGATTTATCGCATACTCTACTATTTACACAAATAATAAAACTCAGTTTGACACTTCAAATAAATTGAAATAAATAACATTTGCATTACTTTTAATATTTTATGCAAAATTGATCAAAAACATATAACATTGAAATATGTTTAGTACAAATTTAATTTTATTACATTTATGCACAAGACATATCATTTTGTACGTTATAAATATTAGAATACACATCTAAATATTAAGATCGATTAGAAAATATATTTCAATATTTAATCTCACGTTTAGCGTGGGTCAAAATCTAGTAGTCTTACGAAATGGACTAATTACTAGAATAATCTTCACAAAATCTCAAAATACTAAGAAATGGTTTATAAGACATATAAACCAGGGTTATGTTTTGTTATTACAAAAATGCCCTTTTTGACTTAAAAAAAAATTGAAAAAGACAAAACAGAGCGCGATTCTCTATTTCCCAGAAACTTCTTCTCCAGCTCCTCGCGACTTGGCGATAGAGGCAATTTAGGAGATAACGACGAGAACGACGGTGGTTTAACAATAAGTTTCCGACGAGAAGGAGAAGTTCTTCTGTGGTTTATTTAGTTTCTTTTTCCGACTTCGAACGACGGTGACATTGTGTTTCTTCGGCGATTTTAGGATTTCGGCGAGTCGTCGACGAAAATTTCAGGCGAGTTTAGGGTTTGTTGATGGTGGTTCGTAGAACAGGTATATGAATTTTCGTTTTAATTTGGGTTGTTGCATTGTTCTAAAAATGTCGAAACCCTAAAATCTTCAATATATTTTGCAGATTTGTATTCGAAATCGTGTTTCCTTCAGATTCAGGACGGCGAAATCGACGGTTGGGTTCTGGTGAGAGAACTTGATAGTATGTTTAGAGATTAAAATTTTGTGGTAGATTTGTTATCAAAGTTGTGATAGATTTGTTAACGTATAATGACAAACTTGATGAGTTAAGATTGGGTTATAAGTTTCATTGTTTGTTGGACCTTGTTTGTTTTGATTGTATCTTTGGAGATTGTAATTGGTGGTAGATTTATTATCGAATTTGATGGTAGACTTGATGAGTTAAGATTGGGTTATAAGTTTCATTGTTTGTTGGCCCTAGTTTGTTTTGATTGTATCTTTGGACATTGTAATTGGTGGTAGATTTGTTATCGAATTTTGGTAGATTTGCTAGGAATGAGTTTTAAAATTGAAATGTTTGATGGTAGAGTTATTTCTCTTCATGGTAGATTTAATTCTCTTCATGGTAGATTTATTTCTTTTGATGGTAGATTTAATTATCTTCATGGTAGATTTATTTCTCTTCATGGTAGAAATTTGAATGCTGACATGATTTATCTTATTGTACAGAAATGTCATCTTCTATTGTGCCACTTGAGTATCCCGAGAGATTKATYCRAAAATCACCATCGGTGGAAAGAAGCTTGCATCACAATTGCAAGTTGGATGACTTTGATAAGATGGTCGAAGCTGTTGGTGAAGAGGTTTTCAATGACATCATGAATAATCATGGTGTTGGAGTGATTCTAAAGCTTGCTTTATCGAAGATGATATGGACTGGGAAGCCTATCCAAAATATCCTTGGGAACCAATTGGCCATTGACAGGATGAATGAGATTTGGGTTTTGGTTGGTGGTCGTCCGATGAGATTTTCTCTACATGAGTTCGCGGAGATCACTATGATGAAGTGTGACCCATTTGATGATCAAGATATATTGGATCTTGACCACACTGATTTGTGGAAGGATATGAAGGTTGACGCAGGAATCGCGCCTGGTTGGGACGAGTTGATTGATGTTTTTGAGGTTTGCATGACATGAAGTTATGAGAAGAGAAAAATGGTAGCATTGCTCTTTGTTTTGCACGTTGGAATATATGGGTTTGCTCGTAGTAGTAGAATCCCTCTCATGGCTGCGAAAAGAGTGTTGGATCTACAAGCGTTTGAGAGGTATCCATGGGGCCGTGTGTGCTTTAGGGAGCTAGTGCATTCGATAAATGTTGCATCCTTGGGGAGTGGAAAGTTGACAATTCATGGGTGTGTGCATGTAGTGCTTGTCTGGGTATATGAGTCGGTTCCTATACTAGGAGAGAAATTTGGGAATAAAAGAGAAGAGCCAATTCCTCTCCTAAGTTGGGGTTCAAGCCGCGCTAGCTTGGAGAGGGTTTTGGAGGAGGATAAGGAAACCAATGGAAAGGTACACATTTTACAACCTGTAAATTTAACGTGATAATTACTAGTTTACGGTAGGCTTGTTCGGAATTCAAAAGTTGTGTTGTGGTAGAGTTGATTAAAGATAATTTTGTGTTATGGTAGACTTAATTGCAAGAGTAATATGTATATCGTGGTAGACTTGTTTATCAAATAATAGTTGTGTTATGGTAGACTTAATTGTAAGAGTAATAGTTATGTCGTGGTAGACTTGTTTGTCAGATAACACTTCTGTTATGGTAGCCTTGATTGCAAGAGTAATAGTTATGTCGTGGTAGACTTGTTTGTCAGATAATAGTTGTTTTATGGTAGACTTATTTGATTATTGTGGTAGACTTGTTTGATTACAGTGGGATTATCCCATGGTAGGCTTGTTTGATTACAGTATTTCGTTGTTTGTAGGTTCGTATTAGACAGTTGGTGGTGAAACCTTTGGAGGAGATATATCCTCCATTGGAAGGAGACAAAAAAAATAAGAAGCTTGATAACATGATACGAGATATTCTTGCTGGATACTTGGATAAGTCTTTTTGGGATGTTGGTAAGAGGAAGAGGATAGTGAAGAAGGTTGTTGAGGAAAGTTCTGAGCAAAGGAGTTC